CCCGCACATACAGCTGGAGCCACTCACGTTTGTTTACAACCATGTTAAGGATATTCTTGAGCTCATCTGCACAGATCTCCATGTCCTGAGGAGGAAAGGAGTAGAGTCATGTTCAAGAGCACAGCAGCTGGTGGAGCAGAGGCTTTGCAAAGTAAATCTCGGTTGTCCATGTTTGCAAAGTCCCTGTCAGTGCTATTGTCATAGGGAAGCTGGGGCTTTTCTGTGGAAGACAGACGTTGCACTCCCAGCTGTCCACACTGCAGTGGGCAGCTCAGAGCAAAAAGGCCTTGGCCACCCCATGGGTGTGTTAGTCTAAAACTCAAGGACTTGACTTGTGGATTTCTGTACTACACACATATGTCCCGTTTCCACCAAAAGCTAAAATGACCCCTACTGAACAGTGATGCAGTACCTGGTCAGTTGAGCAGTTAATCAAGGAGAGGAGTAGTGTGGGAGCTGGGGTTGGAAGTACTCACATCACCCGCTATTTGCTTAAAAATGTTGTGGAACTGCTGCTGCTCTTCACTTTCCTGGTCGGTGTTGCCAGGCCGTGGCTGTGGAAGCACAAGGAAGACTGGTTCACAGGGATCGGGGAGGTGGACAGACCCTTGAGAGTTCCCTCTAGGCTGAAGGAGCCCGAGTGCCTACAACAGCCCTAGGTGGTAGCAGGAACGGTACAGGGCACATGCTCTTCCTGGTCAAACCTGGTGAGCTGGAGTGAGAATCGTCTAGGCACCAGCGACCCTTCACTGCATACCTGCCCAACCCAGACACCCAGACAGAGGAGATAACTTAGCCATGCAGACGTGTAGACAGCCCCGTGGTCCCTTTCCCCATCCCCACCAGCAAGAGCCCTCTCCACAGCTGTGAGCCCGATCATCCAACCAAATGAGCCCCAGCAGGACAAAGGGGACCAGGCCATTCGGACACTTCCAGCTGCCTTTGTTACCAAGGTCAAGCCCTCAGAGGACCCCTCTCCCACTCCATTGCATGGCACTCAGGACGGAGGAGGTGGGCCTGGATTTGTCCGTGGACTTTTGTCTCTCAGCCCCACCTTCACTAACTTAAATGACCACCTCTTCCCACTCCAGACTAACACCCTCCCCTGGGCTCTGGCGCAGTCCATTTCTGATGCAGCCCCCTTTTCTGCTACTGTTCTTTATCCCCTGTGGTTAAGAGCTTGAGGACAGCAGGAAATAGGAGTTGTTCTGTCTCGGGCTTTGCCTGCCCCGTCCCTCGTCCTAGCTGCATAGGCTTCCAGCAGGGAGGCTCAGCCTGTCCTTCCCAGGCCTTGGGCCGCCTTGGTGTGGCTGCCAACCCCTAAGATGTTCACTCGAGCAGCACCTCAAATTTTAGGAGAACTTGAGAGAAAAGATTAGTGAGATAAATCCAAACCTCTAGATGTTAAGGGGTCATCCTACCCCTGCAGCCCCTCCAACCTGAGCACCCCCAAACAAAACCCCAGTGTGTGCTGGCCACCCCATTCATGCCACATGCTCAGAACCTGCGGGGATTTCTCTTTCTTATCAGGGCTTGTTTTGTCTTTGCCCTCATCTGCTTCCTGGTCCACGCTCAGTTCCTTGTTGCTGTTCGCTCTGTCCGAAACGAAGATGATGGGCTGGAGAGAGGAGGGAAGTGGGGAGGGGGCAGGAAGGAGGCGGGTTACAGGCTGAGCGGGCACACGGAGGCCACCTCCTCCTGGAGCGGCAGGTCCAGTGAAGAGGGAAAGAGCAGTTAGGAGCTCTTCAACCTCACTCAGTTCAAGCTCCATTTCAGCCACTAACAAGCTGTGGGGAAAGATGCTAAGTCTCTCTGGACCTCCGTTCCTTCTCCTCATGATGAGTTATGACTGTTAAACAAGGTAGTAAGCACATGTGAAAGTGCTAAGAATGCTAAAAGCAACGTGATCGGGTGCAGTGATTTTCAAATACTTTGTAGACTTTTTTTTTTTTAAATGGAAACATTGTTCAAATTAAATTTCCCCAGAAGCCGAGTGTATGTGAGTCATTAAAAACAGAGCTGCTCTGCTCGATGAAGAGGTGACCCTACACCACCAGGGCATTTACTGAGGCACCTCCAAGGAACCTCTAGGACTCTGCAGAGAACAAATTGCAAAAAGGACTCTGATTCGTGGCATGGTCAAGGGGTGAGAAGTTGGAACACGGGGCTGGAATCCCAGCCCTGCCATCACATGAGAAATATCCTCTCTGGCTTCAGTTTAGTCACTCATTAACGTGACTAAACCTGCCTTACACTTCTCATAGGGCTCTTGTGGGGTCACATGAGATACCGAATGTAAAAGTGAACTGCAAAAACATTTAATATGCTACACAAATATAGGGATTATTTTCAATACATGCTCATGCAAACGAAGAGAATACGTAAAGGGTGGAAAGCAGCTGTCAGCCTGGTTGGTGCTATGTGCCCTGCAGGGAAAGCAGAGGAAGGCTAGGTGGTAGGGGCCAGAGGCTACAGGACAGAGAGCAAGGGGGCAATCAGAGTCAGAGCAGAACAGGAACCTGACTGGGCTCTGCGTCCCCATCTGCCTTTCCATGGTGTTCGTCTAGGACAGCAAGAATGGACAAACCTATGGCAACAGCTCCCCAAGCTTTGGCTCCTAGCAGGCCCCAAAGGCCCTGGATTGCTCTGCCTTCCAAGCAAAGGGTCTTGCTCAAGGAACGGAAGCTTGTGGGGATTCCAGAGCAAGTAGGGTCACAATCTGAGGGGGATGTGTGCCCATCCATGCCAGGCACCTATCTCTAGGCCCAAGTGTGGATCTGGATGATACAGGCTTTGGAGTGTAAAAGGCCTGCACCAGAGAGGTGAGGGCAAGAAACATGGGTTTTGGACCAGACAGATATGAATTCCAGTTTCCCCACTCATTAGCTGTGTGTCCTTGGGCAAGTTGCTTCACTTCTCTGAATCTTAATCCTCACCTATAAAAGGAATAACGACAGCAGCTACTTTGTAGCTACTGTTGTGATTGAAAACTGTTTTACCCCCAGCACAGTGTCTAATGCGTGGTAGGTGCTTGATGAGGGTCAGCTCTGGTCTGCACGGGCACAGTACTTGGAGGACCTCTAAGAGGATCCTTCCAGATGTTGTCATAAACACTAACACCAAACATTGTCTAAACATTGGCTACTGCCCTGTGGGCTTAAGGATGTCCAAAATGTCAGTCATTTCTGGATGGCAGTCTGGTACTCTGGGCGGTCAAACCAAAATTCTGTAAGGGGTAACCATTATCGGAGGCGTTACTGCCCTGGAGGCCGGGGAAGTTAAGGGGTAAATGGAGCAAGGATGGGGTAGGGGAAATCTGAGTTGCTAAACAACTCAAGTTCCAAAAGTACACGAAAAAAACAGGGTCCCCGGTCACAGATGAAAGCTTTGATCTGAGGCTCTTGAGATACTCTTAGCACACATGGTCACCTTTAGCAGTGGTCTCCTTACAGCAGAGTGATTATAACCAGGACACCCAGGAGGGGCCATCGGAGGCCCTGGTGAATCAGGGTGACTCCTCAAGACTCCCGGAGGGAAAGCAGCCCAGGTAGCTCTCATTCCTTTCCCCCCTTAACCAGTCAAGTTGAGCAGCTCCTCTGGGGCTGTGAGGGTGGAGGCTCTCTCCCCTTTGCCCTTTGCCATCTGGACACAGGCAGCACGTAGAGTCTATCAGGACCCAAGACTTTGGGTGGGGGGGGCTAGGTCCAGAGTGAGAGGTCATTGTCTAGAAGGGGGTTTGCAACAGGCTTCACCTTGAATAAGAGCCCTGGCAGTGACTTAGGCCCTCTAGATATCCTCTCCCATCCCTTCCCCAGAAGGCTGAGAAAGAAGGGGAACTGGGGAGCAGGCAGGGAAAAGAGAGGAGGGAGAAGGGGCTGCCCTGTCTATAGAGCAGGCAGCTGGCATCCCGAGACCCTCACTCTCCGTGGGAATCCTCCCACACTACCTCACTGTACCCTGACGAACGGAACCTGTTGCCATTCCCCCCAAAGAATCAAGCCTTGCTTAGCATCGCCAAACCCACTTCTGAGAAAGATGGGCTGCTCCTTTGGCTTTTGCAGGACTCCCGTGTCAGGCTCATTTCCACTGGGTGACCATCCTCTCCCTCAGGTGAGAGGCAGGCAGTGCAGCACTGGTGGCTCAGAGCACAGACTCTACCTGGCTCCAAGCGCTGACTCTGCCACTTACTGGCTCTGTAGCCTTGGGTATTAGTCAACCTGCCTGTACCTTTTCTTCCTGTGAAAACGGGGATAATGATAGATAGTATCAATCTCACAGGGTTGTTGACTGAGTTTATCCACAGGAAGCACCTGGAAGGGCGCCTGGCACATAGCCTTCACTCAGCAAGTGGTAGCTCGCTGCCCTGCACCCACAGCTGCAACAGGGAGGGAGGTGGGGGCAGCGGGGGAGAGGCAGGTCTGCGCGTGCGCTCACACACACATGCCCAGAAACCCCGCGCTGTCTACCCACTCACCCTGTTACACCCACCTTGGGTTTTTTCTTTTTCTGCACAAGGAAAGGAAACAGTAAATGCAGATTAAGTGAAAAGCAAGTTTCCAGAGAATCCACTGGCCTTTGGCTTCCCTGTGACCTGGTTCTCAACTTTGGGTGGGTTCTGGGGTTTGGAAATTCAGGTCACGTGGAGCCAAAAGGGGCCTGGAGGACAAAGGGAGAAGGGGTTTCTCCAGGCCCCGATATGGGCAGCTGCTACAGCTTTGTTTTTATAGTTCACTCTGCTCTTGGACACAGCTAAAGAAAGGGAGGTGCTACCTAACGTTTTGTATTTTTTAATGAACTTGATTATGAAAAATACTAAAAAAGTAGCTAACCCAAACTGGCCCCAAAATGAATTTTGTTTGATTTCTAGAGTTTGGGGGTTTTGTTTGTTTTTTTAGCAAATACTTAGCAAATACATAGGGAGGCTTAATGGGAATCCAGGTTTGGAGCTTCTTTTGTAAAATTAGGTCGGGCAGCCTGGGTGGACCTGCGCCCCCTGTGGCAACAATTTGGGAGAGCAGTTGCTCTCTGCACCCTCCACACTGCCACAGTCACCACCATCCCAGTCATGCCTCCGACACAGAAGCCAATGTCAACTGCGAACCTCAGGCCACTGGAGGGACACCCAAACCCCTACACCTGCTTGCTCTGCTCTGTTAGGTGACATCCCAGTTCCCATAAGCTTAAAACTGCTGATAAACTGTACTTGGATGACCAACGTCCAGAAGATAAGAATAGCACCAAGTGCACTTAATACTAAAAACAACACCTGCGATACTGCAGAAGGCACTTGGAGATCTGGCCCTGGTACAGGGTCAGGATTAAAACCATGAAGGTCACCACCCAGAAGACAGTTCAGTGGGACATTTGCTGTCCTCTTATTGGCCCAGGATACACCCACAGAGCACAAGGGACTGTTTACTAACCAGGACCCAAAGCCCCAAGGCAGCCACAAGACTTCTCAACACAAGGAGACCCCAATATACACCAACTCTGTGCTAACTCTGGGCCTCACACCCCTGGGGACAGGTCTCCGCATGGCATTGGGGAGAGAGTGTGTGAGCCTTGCTTAGCATACTTAGTAGCTCTGTGAACTTGAGGGAGCCATTTAACTTCATTGAACCTCCACTTCCTTGCTTTAAAACCAGGGGCAATAACCTTTTACATCTCAGGAACCTTGCAAGGATCAAATGAGAGAACACACATGAGAAGTACCTGGTAAGGTATAAACCACATGAATAGCAACCACCATTTGAGGGCTGTGCTGAGTCAGACACTTTACATACATGATCTCATTGATTCAAACCTCATAAAAACCTTGCAAGGCACGTGCTATCCCCATTTTAAAGAGGAGGACACTGAGTCGGAGGTTTTATGTGACGTGTCCGGGTCACCCAGCTAATGGGTACAGGACTCAGGTTTTGCGGAGATGTGTACGTTTTTCCTCTGTGAGCTTGTGCCTCGTAGTCCAGTGTTAGCCGAGGCTCTCATCATCCCTTCCTGTGGCCCTGATACCTCCCTCTAATTGTTCAATCTGCCTCTCCCTTCTAGGACTCTCTTCTGTACTTCCCAGCCCCGACTGACTAAATGCCCCCAGGACCGTAAGGCCCATTCAGTCCTTCTGGTCATGCTAAACAGAAGTTGCAGTAACATGGAGTAATCGCTCTGAACACCCCAGACTCCCATTTCCCTCTGTCAATACCTGCTTTCCCCTCCACCACCCAGCTGTCCCCGGGACCTCCTCACACGTAAGGGCTAAACCACTCACCACTGGCCGATCCACGGAGATTGTATTTTCAACGTCTCTGTGAGGAATACAAACATGAGGGGGCTCAGTGTCACCAGAAGCAAGTAGGAAACGCAGAAAGAATTTGCTCAGATCACATGACTTCTCAGAGCTAAGTCAGGACTGAAGCTCAAGAGAAGCCCAGGCACTGACACCCCCCACCCCAGGAACCAGGCCCACGTAGGCACCATCACCAGCAGCAAAGTGCAGACACGGATTCTCATTGCTTTTGCCCAGGGCTCCCAAAAGGCATGTCCCAGCCACCTATTCATAGACCTTCAGCTTTTTTTCAGGGACAAAGATCAGAGTGGCAGGGCCTAGGAACCCATCTCAGGTGGCCTAGAGGACAGGATGAAGCCTTGCTGGCTTCCTTGGCTACCCTACCTAAAAGTTCAGTCACCCCCGCTCTCCCCTCCACCACCCATCACTTATCAAACTCTAACATACTATATATATCTTTTCCTATACATTGCGGTCTCATGCTAGAATGCTAATCTCCATTTGGGCAGGGATTTCTTTCTGTTTAATTCACTGCTCTATCCTCGAGAAATATCTGTGGGATGACTGACGGACTGACGGACTGACTGACATGAATGAATTCGGAAGATGTGGCCAGTGGCTCAGAAGCGGAGGGAGAGTGCAGCTTGGTCAACCTGTCCCAGGACTCCTGGCCGAGACCCGTCCAGCCATCTCATGCCTCCGGTCTCTGGAAAGGGCCACGAGGGCTTTTAGGGACAGGTTGGGAAGGCGGGCTAGGACTCACTCAGAGAGGTTCCTCTTTTCGGAGAAGACGCGGAGGATGAACTCTCCCTCCTGGTGGGGCTCGTAGGTGGAGGGCACAATGACATACTCGCTGGGAGGCAGGCGGAAGCGCTCGGACACCTCCCGCATGTTGATGTAGGTTTTGCTCCTGGCCTTGGAGGCGTTGTACAGGAAGAAGTCCTTCTGCAGGTGCTCCTTGTTCCCGTGCATCTGAAGCAGAGAGGAGCCCGAGGGACCTGAGGCCCTCGGGAGGGATGCCCTTTCCTGCAACAGTCCCCCTCCAGGGCTCCCTTCCCAATGCTCTGGTCACCCAGCTCACAGTCATGACCTACCTACTTCTGATTCCCAAGGCCTCAAATAGCTCAGTGTCTCCGCAGCTCCCTACCCCATTCCCTCTTCTTTTTCTGTTGTGATTCAGAAGTGAAGGTCAAGTCTATCACTCCCACACTCAGGACCACTTACCAGAACTGCTGCTGGTCAATTCCGATCACCTCCAGGCTGGGGAAGGACCCCAGGGAGGGCCCTTAGCTGGGGTCTGAGGGAGGTGATTCCTCCATCCCAAAGAGGGCAGTCCCCCTCAGAATGTGGCTGTGTGATATGAGTGAGTGTGTAACTGTGTGAGTGTGAATGAGTGTGAGAAAGCATGTGTGTGAGTGTGAAGAAGTGACTATGAATATGTGAAAGCATGTGTGTGACAGTCTCTGGTGGGACAGGAGGAAGGACACAGCGTGAGGGTGGTTGGTAGCCAGGGGGCCACGCACCTGCTTGGAGTTCAGGAACACAGTCAAGGCCCTCTCCTATCATAGTCCTGCCCACAAACCCCACCAGGAAGGTCCCCCATGTGCCACAGACAGACACGGGACCCCCAGTAATGCTGCACACAGCTGCTGGCTGCTGCCACTTCTATACCTCTTTGGGAACCTAGAGGAGAAACAGAAAAAGAAGACACTCAGATTCTGTGGATCTCAGATCTGAACGAAGACGAAAAGCTTGTAGGAGGGGAGCGCTAGCAATTGTAGAGCGAACACATAAGTCTGACTCCCCGCGTACCTACCTGGCCAGCCCTGCTTTTTATCCACTCCTTACAAATATCTGAGAGGTTGTGACACAGTGGGCCTGGCACCAGGAGCTCTGGGGGCCACTGAATATCAGGGAAGCGGGAGGACCGCTCTGGAAGCCTCCTCCCTGAGAAGGTGTGTGTTTCTTGGGCTGAAGCTGTCATACCTCGTAGATGGCGAAGCCGATGGTGAAGAGGTTGGCCCCCAGCTTCCGGTCCTTCCGCCGGTTCTTCTGCATCAGGGCCACCAGGAAGCTGCAGATCACCTGTGAGTCCTCGGGGTCATCATCCTCCTCTAGGAGCTTCAGACGGTACTGAGGGTTGGTCCAGAAAGTGTCTGTGCCCCCCAGAAAGAAAATGTACATTCAGATCTGCCTCTTGGAGAATGGGCAGGAAGGGAAGTGAGACAGAGAGAACCTATCTGTCTTCCATATCTAGGTGCTCAATAAATATGGAAGGAATGATTCAGGCACTGGTCTGTTATTGGGGTGGGGGTGGCAGGTAGCCTATGCTTTATACAGATGGGGCTGCCCTGCCTGGCTGTGTGCCTCCTCCTTCCTCTGAGCTTTTATTCTCAGTCTTGGCTGATGGCTTTGCTTTCCTCATCTGTCCTTTTAATGTTGTTGGTTCCTGAGATTTGGTCCTAGAGCGGTTCTCTCGTCCCAGCATTGCACCCCCTAGGCTGTGGTATCCACTTTCACTTTCTAACTGCTCCCTACACACTGGTGATGCCTGAGCCATAGGTCCCAGCCTCCATCTCTCTTTTGACTCCCTCCCTCTCTCTCCTTCTCTTCCTATGTCCCTCCTTTCTCCCCTCCC